AACCCAGAGTAGACATCAAATGCTTGTTGATTTCAGAAGAGCACATCAGAAAAGCAGGGCACGTGTCAGAAACTTTCCCAGGGAACAGGACCCACCATTGCCCCTCAGTGGCACCTGTATGGTGGGCTGGTCGGCCCTGCTGGGAGGGCGGCACTAGCGAGGACAGTCTGATTCACGGCTTGTCCAAAGCCAGCCACAGGGGAAACCATGCTCAAGGACATCTTCCTGCTGCCAGCAAAAGACGAGTGTCTCCTAGCAACCGGCTTCCAGTGGCTTCCTGTCCTGGGAGCCTCCCCGTGCTCACAGCTTTGTGTCCTGGGGTTTTGTATTTTGGCCTTGCTAATCACTGTGTTTATTCTAGATTCTGAAAACTGAGGAATAAATGCAAGCTAGCTGCTGACATTGGAGTGGAGATACCATTTCATTTGTAACCTCCTTTCGGCAACCACTCATGACTTTCATGGAACGGAATGTTTGGTCTTAGTCTAAAAAGGGTGAATATATTTTTTGAAAAATTTCATTTATACCAAGGCAGTTGGTTTGAAAGATACATAAAAAAGGAACAGCACACATTCTTTCCATCGAATAACTGACAAGTACTCAGACCTTTTCAAAACAGATGCACTATCATTCAAAACCTGTTATGGCAATAAACTCTAACTTAGCAAATTCACAGATGCAGAAAGAAAGGCAAGGTGAATTTGAAGAAAATGGTTCAAAGGACCTTACAGTTTTGGTGGCTTAAAATTATGTCTGCTGCAATACGGGTTAAGCATTTATTTCCTCTGTGTTCTTCCTAGAGATTCTAACCTTAGTTTCGAGGTATATATGACTACATTTTTATTTTAGTGGAATTGAAGTCTGCTGTTCATGCTGCTTTTTTAACATTTTCTCTTATTTTTATCAAATATTCATCCAGACACAAATTCCTCATCTATTAAAAAATTAATCAGACTTCACAGTAAAGAGCTCAAAACTGTACGTATATCCTTTATTCAAAAAAACCATAAATTTACGTTAAAAGTCTGATTAGTTTTCTCTTTCAATAAGGAAAACTCAAAGACTTAAGGTGAGTTGAGCGCCTGGAGTTAAATGTATGAGAGGGCTGATAAACCCCAGAACTCTTTTCCAGCAAAGCCACCAAAGCCTGGTGCTGCCTGGGGTTCCCTGAGCAGCAAATTGAGGTTTGGAGTCTGCCACTGCTGTATTTGTGCAGTGAGCTTAGTCTCTGCAGACTTGTGAGTTCTTTGGAGGTATTCCTCAATTCCTCCCCACCATTTCCCTCCCCCCTGTTCCAGCAGTAACAGCCACAAAGTCATGAGGCCAAGATTAATTCTAACTGTTTTGGCTGTAGTGGAGTCTCTCTAAATCTAAGACTGACTTTTGCCTTCTCAGGAATAGTATAGGATTTACCAGATAGTGCCAGTGACTTCCATCTTTTCAGAATCTACTTTTGAAGTTTATCCTTTAATGGAGTTTCTACTTAGAGGGGATTGAACATTTCTTGGAATAACTCATAGGCTCCTTAGCTTCCTCTTTTGGGGTTCTGTATATATTTGTTTCAGGGGTGCAGAATCAATCACATGGCTACAGCAGAGACACTCCTGCTTACTCATTAAAGAAACCCGTATGTGAATCAACACTTTCCCTATGGTCTCAGGCTGTTCTTCGTTCCCTGAAATCATCAGAACACCCAGCAAGTATCTTGGAAGAATGTGTATCTTTAAAGGCCATAAAGGAAGAACACTTGATTAAAAGGAAAAACTGCTCTGCCACCCACTTGTCTGAATTCTGCTTTTGTCATCTTTAATTAATATGTAAATCTGTTCACTTGATGTTTTAATACTAGTTGAGGTAAATTCAGCTTCATCGTGTTTTTCCAAAGAGGGTAAGCTACCCTGATTTTTTTCTGGCCCTTTTCAAATATCTACATGTAGTGGTGGAATGAGCTTGAGGACAGGAAAGGCCCTGGGAGACAGTCTTGTATCGTGGTTCTAGTATTCCAACCACTGCACAAGACTCATTCAAGAATAACAGGTATGGGTCCCAGCCTTAATCATTTCTATTTTCATTATGGTTTACACATTAATTGTAAATGATCAGATTGACTAGGAACTCTTTAAAGCCAAACAGATTGGGAGGCAGTGCATGGTAGCACTAACTGTATAGGTTTGACATTCCCATAGACTTGGACTAAATATCCAGATCTGTCATTTACTAGCTGTGTGACCTTGGGAAAGTCACTAGACGTCTCTGAGCCTCATATTCCTTACCTATAAAATAGGGATTGTGATAACTACCTATATGAAAATCAGTGTGAGAATAAAATGAAACAACGGATGCAAAAGATTTAGCATGGTACCTATAATTACTGTTCATTGAATAAAATACTGTAACACATACTGCTATTACTATGTATGGTATATTAATTGTCTTACCAGTTGTCTATTACATGCAAAGCACTGTGGTGAGTGCTATAGAGACCCCCCCAAAATTTTGGATGCTCTCATTTCTGAAGAACTTTATAACCTAATTGCTCATCAAGGAGACAACATGGAAAACCATAGGCAAAGTAAAATGGCAGTTGGATTAAACTTCTCTCGGAGTGCTGTCAACTCTCAGTAGTCAAGTCCACGCCTGAGGCTGAGTGCTTCAGTTACTGCTTCATGGGTCATATCTAAACCAACTAGGGCAGTCAGTGAAATAGCATTCAACAATCATCCAACAAATATTGATTAACCTACTACGTGCCAGGCACTGTGCTAGGTGATGGATATGTCAGTCTTCCTGGTTTTTTTTTTTTTTTTTTGGAAGCCCTCAGGGTCTGTTTTCAGCATTCCATATGAATTAACTCTTAACTTTTCAAGAAAACTAGGTGGGGTGTATTAGCATCAGTCTCATTCTACAGATGAAAAAACTAATCACAGACAGATTACATAACTTGTCCAGGGCCACACAGTAATACACAGCAGAAATGGATCAGAACCAAGCAAAGTGGTTCTAGGATCTGCCTTGATAATACCAATACCTTATTACTTTGTAATAGCACTTTGTCTTATGAGGCGACCATTTCATGCCTCTGGTGTGGTTCCTTTACTCCCGTTTTTGAAGATGGATTCCCTAGATAAAAAGAGTGAGGCTTCACTCTCTTCTTTCCTTTCATCACTGAAGACTTGAGAAGGGACTGTAAAGCCCCTGTGGACACTAGTTAGCCCTCCATTAACCAAGCTGTGTGTCATTAGTTATCATATGTAAGCCAATCTCTTGCTGTTTTGAATAGGAGTTAAAGACATACTTTGATGCATTAGAAGGATCTACCTAGGGGAGGTTTACTTTATAATCAAACACAACAGATTTCTAACTTGAAAGCTACTGCAGGCTTTTAAGTATTATTTAAATTGTCTTAGACATAAATTACTCATAAAATTGAACTGTCACTTCATAGCAGAATGAAAATTAATATGCTCCTCTTGATTCCTGAACTTGAGCATAAATTATCTTATGCAAAACACTCTGGAATTTGGAGAGCTAAGATCAGAACCTTTTTCTCTGCTCAATCTCATGTCTCATGTCTTGTGTGGTAAAAGGCAAAGAAAACAAGCCGTCAATAGTAAGCAGAATGAAGAAAGAATGTTTAGTCAAGCCTAATATCACTTTCTTTCTTAGTTCTTCAACTGTTAGAGAAATAATTTGAAAAAGTGAAAAAAAGAAAAACTGACTCATATTTGCAAATGGAAAATACCAGAAAAGATCAGTGGCTGCCCAAATGATCTCAGGACATAATTTTTTTAAAGAGAGGGTTGCAGTCCTTCAGACACTCTTTACAGAATCTAGACCATCACAGACGCACAGGAGACTATTAGACCAGGCACTAGGTTTTGTCCATGGTTAGCAAACGACATACAAAAAAACTAAACTGCTCCCTTGAAGTTGAAATCAAAGAGCCTCATGAGCAGCCTTCTGTATTTCTGGAATGAGAGAACACACATGTGCAATGGAGGCAATCCAGAGAGAGGCATGCTTCCCAGAGGCTGTTTTAAACAGTGACAGATTACAAAATCCTAATGTGATATGTTGGAACATGAAACACAGACACACGTGCGTGCGTGCGCACACACACACACACACACACACACGCACGCGCTTGTGAAAAACCCAGCTGAAATCCTTAAAAAGCCAAAGTTTAGAAGAACACGTGCTGTGGACGCACCAATAGTAATTTCAAAATCACTCTGTTTATGAGTCCATTCTTCACCTCTTTTTATCACTTTGAAACACTCTTTAGGAAATAACAGAGAAAGAGAAATGTGAAGCTGAAGACAGAAAATGTAATTATAAAACAAAGCCACCCACCTTGCTTTCAGGGTCAGGAGATACAATGGCCTTCTTTTGCAGCAAGAATGAACTTAACACCCGTGTGCTAAATGATCACATATCTATTTAAAAGAAAAAGAAATGGTTTTGTTTAAAAGAAATGAATATTTTATATTCTAAGTTCCTCTCATTGCAAGTCTTACCAAAAAATAAAAATAAAAACAGTGTACTGTGGCTCTCTGGCACAAGGCAGAAAGCCTAGTCCGGAAGTCACTACTCCCCTGTTTTGCAAAACAAAATAAAACCAAAAAGCAAGAGCAAAAGGTGTTTGGCAGGTGGGAAACGGCCTTAAAACACCTTGTGCCCTCCTGGGTCCCTCCCAATGCCTTCAGTGTGGGCTGTGGAAGCAATGCTGCTCAACACCAATGTCACCATCGGCTGCCTAAATGCCACAGAAGTACACTTAGAAATGAGAAGAAAGTGGGGTCGGGTGCGGTGACTGACATGGATATGTACAGCCAGCCCCACTGCCACTAGAACAGCCTTAAATGCCCACACAAGGAGAATAAAAAGAAAAGCACATTTTGCAATAGAATAAATTCTTTTTTTTTTTTTTTTTTTTTTTTTAATTGAGACCGCGGAAAGTCACATGACCCTGCATGTAGCCTTTTAGGAAAGCAACCGAAATGGTAAAGCCAGGATGGGGGCTGCCTGCTTCCTCCTGCAGCCTTTCAGCCCGTCCTGCCGCGTGTCCACATTCTTCTGGGCGCATCTGTGGAGCTATTAAGTGGGATAATCCCTCTGGCCTTTGATACATTTCTGGACATGATTATTTCATTACTCGCAGTATATCAGTAGGATCATAATAAAAAGGACTTCTGACAACCTGCCAAGAGTTTTGTGGCCTTGTAAACACAAAAGTGCTCTAATAAAATTTTATTAAGTGTTAAAAAGTCATAAAAAGTGAAATAACATAAACTACAAAATTTACTGTCCTCAGCAAATGCTGAAAATATCTTCCACAGTAAAATTAAATTAGCATGTAATAGAGAAGCAGTGTGGAGTGGATTTAAAAGAGGATCCAGGGAAAATGACACTGTAACCCAATCAGGGTCACGGGGATTTAATTCGCATTTTTTCCCCCTAAATGTGAATAAATGTGCTGATTACAGACGAGAGCTCCGGGGTTACTGGAGTCTCACACATTGTCAATACTTCGGAAGAAATAATATATTGCAGATTGTAACCAGCACCCAGAGCCGGCAAAGGGCAGGGCGTCCACTAGGGCGCGCTGAGAGACCGGGAATCCCCGCAAGGGTGCCCGCGCCGCGCGCCGCCCGCAGCCCGCCGCCGCGCGCACGCCGCGCCCTCGCCCCCCTCCAAATCATATTTACAGTTAGGGTTTTTTTTTTTTTTCGCTGTCGCCTGTGACATTTTCTCCAAATCGGAAGAAAATGAAGTGTAAGTCGAGCTTTGCCGCAGGCAGCCCTCGGTCTCCACTCTCAGATTCGGGGGCCGGGAGCAGGGCGCCCTGCAGAGGGAGGCTGAAAAGCGGGCACCCTTCTGAGAAGTGGGACCCGCCACCCGGCAGAGGGAGGCTGAGAAGCGGGCAAGGGCGGTGTCTGGCTCTGCGCGGGGCGCGGATGCGCTCCGAAGGCCGTGGGCCACTCGCCTCGCCGCGGGTTCAAGTGCGTCCGGGTTTGGACGACGCGGCTCCAGGAGTGCGTTCTCTCTTCTGCCCATCCCCTTCCCGGAGTTCAGCGCATCCGCGGCCCCGGGGACCCCTCTTCCCGGCCCTCCCGGCTGCGCTGGGCTGCCCGCCTGGGGCCCGACCCAGCGCGCCGGTCTCCGGTTAGTGACCGCTGCGCAAGGGCGAGGGCGGGCCACCGGGTCCCCGCTTCTCCCAGGCCCCGATCCCGGCCCACGCACGGGGCTCCTGCGCCGATCGTGGAGGCTCCGCCTGGAAAAGAAGTTCGACTTCCTCTCCAAGCTACTCCGAGGAGACTCGGGAACCGGCAGGAAATGACTCGAACTGCCAGCCTGCGCCTTTGCCTCGCTTTGCTGAAGACAAGCAGCTCTCACCAAAGTCTTGCCTTCCCCTTCCCCGAAAGCCCCGTTCAGGTTTGTAAAGAGGGGTGTGAAATCTGAAAAGTATTTGTCTTCTAGGGAGAGAGATATTGGTAAGGGGCCCAGTGAAAGATGGGTGCTTTTTAGCTCATCAACGCGCCACGTCTTGCTTTGCAGCTCCAAAATGATGCCCTCGCTGCTGTCCGAAGGGTATTAATGCATTAAGTGAAATGGGAAATAAATGGGCAGTGTCACATTTCGTGGCATCATTTTTATAAGGGGATATCCAAAGTTTTAAGTTGCTTTTAAGAATTAGCCACATCTCGCTGGAAAGTTAGTATTTTTTTTTTTTTTTTACAAACTCGTTAATAAAGCCTAGAAGAAGTAAGTTAAAGTTAGTTACCTCGCAGATCCTCCAGTCTCTTGTAGAGACCTGCACAGGTTACTAGGATGAAGACAACTTGCATTTTTAATTTTCTAGACTAAGTGCAAGGGCATTGAGTTTTGAGGTGGCAAGGTCAATGTTCAAGAGTAAATGGAACAGCCAAGCATCTCTCAATAAGCAATATTCACTTATTATTATACTTAAAGCTGAAATAAATATAATTAATTTACAGTGGGAAATATATGACCATGTTTTAGACTTTTTTTGTTATATAAATTATATGAAAAGGGATGTTCTTTAGTGATTTTTAAAAACCCACCTGTTTATTGTCATTTGCAATTTGAAATAGCCGAGAGCAGTGGGGCTAGCTAAAAAGACAAGTCAACTTCAGCGTGGTTTGACGTTTACTATCAAAGCTTTGAGCCTAAGGAAAACAGAATTTAAAAGAATCCATGTAAATAATAAAATTTCATTGTGACTCAATGTCCCTGCCCCTGGGGAAGGGGCAGATGATACTCAGTGACTGGCGTGGAGCCATTCCTTCTGCAGATGCAATTGTGGATATGGTAGGCCAGGGCTGCCTCTGGACATGTACAGCAAGTTCTTGGGGACGTACAGAAACAAATGTTTTACTAGCTAGGATGTTCTCAATAGTTTACACTAAAAGTTTTGCATGTGGAAATGTACGATAAATGTTTCTTCTAAAGGAAAAGTTTCAAAAGGAAACTTTATACTTGTATTATTTTTTTCTGTGTTCACATTTCAGATTAAAGTTCATCTGTCTTTCAAAAAAAATTTACATAAATATTAAAACATTGCAACTATTATTTTTAATTCTTTTGAGCCGCATGTTTGCCCTAAGTAGTTTTTTAAGTAAGATTAAAATAATCCTGTTTAAGGAGTTTAATGGAGAGAACAGGATTTCCAAGCTCATACATGCAGTCTATATAAAATAGTGAGATCAAAGGTTTTTGTTAAGAAATTTGAGAATTTATACATTTTAAATGAAGATAGAAACGCGTTTTAAAAGTAGTTTTTCTACACCATTTCCCTTCCCCCCAAAAGAATTCAGAGTATTTTCCATATTCAAAAAATGCTATAATCAGATATAAAAAATTATTACCAAAATATATAGTTCTGTCATATGGTGGATAGTTTTTAATATATTATGAAGAAAGTAGAATTATATTCAAAGCCTACTAAATGTTTGAAGGAATGGAAAAAAATAAGATGTTTCTAAACATTTTACTACTGAAATCTGTAAGACTATTAAACTGTGCTGGTAATTGTATTCTAAGTGGTAGAAGTATTTTTTCCAACTGCTTTTTAAACTTTGAAAATTGTATATGTATTTTAATTAGCACTTTTCTTTTCAATGTTCCAAATATTTAGCTATATCAGCTATATGATAAAAATTATTGGAATTTGTTCCATACTACTTTCTGCATCAACAGTTGAGAAATATTTTATACTTATCTTTTTGTATACATGGGATAAATTTGAATATGTGCCTTTTTGGTTTAAAAAACAATCCAAATTCATTTCTCTCTTGAACACTTAGCATCGATCTTCATCTTATTTTTTTATGCACATAATTTGGACATGCCAGTTTGTAGGAAAGTTTTAAGATAGTGCAAGTTTTATACGGAAGAATGTATATTAAGGCATGAAATAGCTAATAGCCAAGATTAAATCAGGAGGTGTGGCATTCACTCCTTTGGATAATGATTTTAAAGGTAGTCTTGCACTCAGGAAGGATTTTCTTATGCTCTGTATTTATGAATATCTAAATGATTCTGCCTTACAACTTCAAAACTCAATAACCAAATACCAAATTTATGTATTTTAAATGTGACTAAGGCTAGGAATATGAGAAGCAGATTGGTTTTATGAAAGCAAGCAATCATTTACAATTGTGTTTTAAAATATAATCCTAATTTCAGCTTCTGACAGAAATCCTGTGGTCAGCTCATCAGATCATTTTCTAAATAGCATATAAAAACTACCTTTTCCACATCAGAAGTTCATATTTAGGTTTCCTTAACTACAAAATCACTCTAAAAAAGAGTGTTTTATGTGAAGGGCCATTTCATGTGTTGGTTCCATCGATTACATATGAATTAGAAAAATCTTGTTTAAAGACCAGTTAAAGTGAGGAAATTCCAAGTCAGGCTGGCTAATTCCATTCATAATTCATCCGGAGTACCTGACCGAGGAAACTTGCAGTTTATAGCTATGCATACAAAATAAGTTGACTTACTTTGTAAGCTGGAAGCAGAGTTAAATTTGACCTCCCTGCTTGGAAAGTCTTAAATTAATAAAATTACAGAATGTGGTTAAGCTTTTGGGTTTCCCCAGAATTTTCCAATATCAATGCTTTTTGGATTTTTGCATTTTGAAAATGTAAGCACAGAAGGACTTTTTAGTCCTGAGATGAGGTTGGCTTTCACCCATCCATTTCCTTCCCACTTACACATTTGTTCACTAATGCTTTGAGTTCTAGGGGACAGAGGCTCTGTCTTGAGAAAATAGCATATGCCATTTCTCTGCCCCCTTCAGCCATCCCCACCCCCAGCCCTCCCTTTATTCCAAGCCAGTTGGACAAGTATTTAGCACTGATACATGATTCAAACCGCTGTATTCACAGCCCTAGGTACTTTTGGGGATTGGCAGGAAATCCATCCAGACTTTGCCTTCTGAGCTGGGAAAAACCACTGGGGAGTCCTATGCCTTGATATTGGGGCACCTCTAGGGTGTCTTTCCAATTTTAAGCAATCCTTCAGTTGTTTTCTAAGGCTACACTGTAGACTGATGCCTTTTCTTAGTTTTGATGTTTAGTAAGATTTCTTAAACATCTTGAGTAATTGTAATTTTAAACTAGACTAATTTTAAGGTTGAAAACTGGCCCAGAGAGTCCTTACATAGTAACTTCAATCTGATGTGAACTCAAATGACATTTTAAAAATAAGATGTTGAAAATATGGGTTTCTGGTGGAAAAGGCTGCCATCTACTTAGAATAGGATCCTTAGGACAAGCTAATACCCACCAGACACACTCCAATAAACTGGAACAAGCCTGAGGTGGAGTTACTGACTCCCTGTTTTCCTAAATGTAGGTCATTTTGTGTCCTTACAATTTAACTTTTGAAGGGATTTCCTGTCTTTGAAGTACAACAGTTTGTCACCTGCTTGGCTAGCTGCCTTAACAGTTGGGGCTCCTTTCCTACTTTGAAAGACTTAGTGACTCCATGTTCCCTAGCCAGAGTTTCCCAGCTCATTGAATGCGTGATATCTGCAGCTCTGGGACCCTCCTCTACAAGTCAGTGCCTGCAAATCCTGTTCCAAGCTTCATTTCTCTAGCTCAAAGAGCCTAAAAGAAAAGCCTGGAGCCATACACTCACCTGGTTGAAGCCATAAAGAGGTAAGCTTTCATAATGTAGAGCCATATATCAAAATTCATAGCTTTTGAGAACTGGGGTAACTAGTGCTCAGGCATTCGAGTCACAGGCTAGAGCAAACACAGCAACTGGTACCAAATGTACCCTAGTGGCTGAAATCCATTTAAGCAATAAACAAACAAATGTCCTTTTAAGAATGTGGTATTATTTTTACTTAGGAATGCATGACTTTATCATCTTATGATATGAATCCTACACTTCAATATTTCAAGTGAAAATCTGCCTATTTAAAAAGAAAATATCATTCACAAATGAACAGTGTATTAGAAGACAACTGTAAATTGCTTCTAGCAATGGCAGTCTGCTGAGTTTTACCAAATGATACCACATGTGCACGCCAAAGCTCTTTGTAAACTATAACACATTTCAATAAACTTGTCTGCCTTTACGACATCCACCAGCTAATCCTTGTGCTCCCATTGCAAAGGCTGTCCTCTTTTTGGAGAGGAACACCAATTGTTTGAAAGCCTAGACACAAATAAGGCATCTTCACAGTATCCCTCCTTAAGAGTGTTTTCATCCTAATATTAAGTAAAGATTTAGAAGCTTATGAACTTTGGGGGATTTCTTTTCAGAGAACTGGACACGTGTATAAAAATTACAATATTTTGATAAGTGAGAGGAATAAAATAAAAATAGGTTTCAATACAGTTATGGCTTAAGATCTTGAAGAAATCAAGAAGAAAGTAGAAATCAACTGCATCAAAGGAAGAAGGGTCAGGCTGAATTCTGTTTGTAATTTTTTCATAATAAATTGAAATGAAGTTTTTTTCTGACTATATGTTTTCTTTTATGGATATTAATCTGTTTGATTCATTTAATTTCTCTGGAAGAAATTGTAGCCTTTGTAACAGAATCTGCTCTATTGGGTTGTGTATGGGCACCTACCAGGTTGCTTTCTAGCCAGTATCATGTGAATCGTCTAGAGAAGATGCCCTTAGCAAACACCTTCAAAAAGCAGCCATTCCAAGGGCACACCTCTTCTGTCTCTTGCAAAGCAAGTGGTACTATGTCTAGGCAAGGAGTCAGACTCAGATTCATGCATTTATCTCAAGTTTTTCGGTGACCTTCTTCCTAGGTCGTGCTCTTGGCACCTGTAAGCCAAGTGTGTGTAAGTATCAGAATGGATTTTCTACGTGCCAAGTGAAAATTCCATCTCTAGTCACATGCTCCTGCACTTTTCATGTGGGTAAAATGTTCCAGTCTTTCCTTGATTACATCACAGATGATATGAGAACAGGACACAGGGGACATGGAACTGCTAAACAGCTGGATAGCTCTGAAAACTCAGAGCACTTAAAAGCACTTTGAAGTCATGCAGCTGCTCTTTTTAAAATTGTCTTCAGTGAAACTCCAAAACCCCAATAATACCTACCTTAAAAGCATCAGGAGTATTTTAATTGGGCAATAACCATCCATATTTTCCTTCTGACAAATTAAAGGGAATTAAGAATGAAATTTTATGATGATTATAAAATGTATTACTGACCCAAGGGACAAGAACAATTATAAAAAATATGTTCTACATATTGGCATGAATATGAATTTAGGCTTTAAAGCATTCATCTTAAATGCTCAAGCATCTTATTAAAGCTTATAAAATAATATTCACATAATGATAACAGAGTATCTTATAATCATGATTGATATTATATCATCAATATTGCAGCAGGCTCTGTGCCAAATACTGAAATTGACTTGGTCTTTGCCTGTTGGGCTTAGAATAAAAATAAATACATTAATAAAAAGATGAAACATGCTAAAATATTTTGTGCATTTGAGATTTTTTTCTTTCTCCAATTAAAATTACTAACCATGAAAAGGAAAGGTGATTTTTAAAAAACCTGGAAAACCTAGTGAGTTGGAATTTTACTGCTAACTGTTGGAAGAGGATCTGATCTAAATAAACTTTAGTAGCCAGTAGCTGTTTGAGGACAAGTTCACCTTACATGAACATGCATCATCATTTGAGGATAACCCACCAAGCTTAGCCTGCTGGTGGCCAGGCCCTAAAATGCATCATAATTTGAGGATAACCCACCAAGCTTAGCTTGCTGGTGGCCAGGCCCTAAAATAGGAGTCATCTTGGAGAGTAAGAACATTTCTGTATTTCAGTTAATGCTACCCACCAGCCATCAAGATCAATTAACTCTTGTAGTAAACTTTAAAAAAAAAAAAAAAAAGAAAAAAAACAGAGTCTCACTCTGTCGCCAGGCTGGAGTGCAGTGGCACGATATCAGCTCACTGCAACTTCCACCTCCCCGGTTCAAGCGATTATCCTGCCTCAGCCTCCCAAGTAGCTGGGACTACAAGCGGGTGCCACCATGCCAGGCTAATTTTTTTTGTATTTTTAGTAGAGATGGGGTTTCACCATATTAGCCAGGATGGTCTCAATTTCCTGACCTCATGATCCACCCACCTTGGCCTCATAAAGTGCTGGGATTACAGGCATGAGCCACCACACCCGATGAATAGACTTTTTTAAGAATTGGAGATGATTACAGAAATTGCCAAAGACAATGTGGGCAAAAATGGGCGGGCTAAGTGGAGGGGCTGCCTATATCAGCATTTACTTGGGCGTAGCCCCGAAGAGCCCTAGCAGTTGCCATTTAGACACTTGTATGTTAACAACATTAAGGCCTTTAGAGTATATATTTAACAGTGAGGAGTTTGTTCCACTTATGTATCAGCACTTTTTACCATGATCTACCTTTGTATGTCATGCTAAAAAGTGTATATGTCTAATAGAACACACATATTTAACTTATCCTGGGCCTGGGTTTCCAGGGTTCCAACTTCAGTGTCTGACCTCTGGCAGATTTTTTAACTGGTCTGAACCCAAGTTTTCTCATTTATAAAATAAAGGCAGTAACTGGTGCCTTTATACAAGATTAAAATGAGTATTAAATGGCCTAATGTTCATAAAATATCTGGAACAGTTTGCTGTCAGTAAATATCTGTTACTACAGTTGCTAGGGAAAAACAAGCTTGAATCTTTGTTCTCAGTTTCTCATTACATAAAATTTTAGAGATTGTTTAAACAAAAGAGAGAGAGCATCTAAATGAACAGTTTCAATCGCATCTGGTTGATATTCAGAAATACAGCCCTGAACTCAAACTTGAGACTTCAGTGTTAGCCAACCTTCCCTCCTTCCATCACCACCTGAAGGAAAATATCTTTGTATAGCACAAAAGAACTTAATTCGAATTCTTTTTTTTTTTTTTTAAAGACAGGATCTCACTCTGCCATTGCCCAGGCTGGAGCGTAATGGCACCATCACGGCTCACTGCAGCCTCGAGCTCCTGAGTTCAAGTGATCCTCCCACCTCAGCCTCCTAACTGGAACTGTAGGTGTGAGCCACCATGCCTGGCTGATTTTGTCTTTTTAAAGTTTTTGGTTTTTTTTGTTAATAAAGACAGGGTCTCACTATATTTTCCAGGCTGGAAAAGAACTTCTTTCCCTCCAAGTGATACCCTTTTCCAGACAAGTCAGGTTAAAAACTGACCCAAAGGTCCTGAAGTACACAATTTCCTTAGAGAAAGAAAACAATAAGGGAAAAGGACTTGCTGACTTGCTAATTCACTTTGGGGGCTATGGGTAACATCAGAATGGAAAAGCACTTGGGACTTTTTTCTTATTTGTATTTTTTAAAATCTTCTGAGAAGTGACTTTTATATGACAAGATTCATTCCATGATTAGTTTTCATGAGCAAGTTGTGAGCTCTTCTGAATATGGAGACCTAGAATAGAAATGCTAACCTACCTGTAAGAAGAGCTATGTGATTGACATCCCCATCATGCTGTAACTGACACAAAACAAACTTAGGGTGATTGCTGCACAGTGTAACTTTAATGCATAAGCATATTGCAACATCTGACAAACTGTTTGGTCTAGATCAGCAATGTGGAACCCATTCATTGTCACTCTCAACAAGACCTTGTAGTCAAACATCATCACTCTCACTAAAGAGACAGTTTACTGAAATATACTGAGATTTTGAAACTGGAGTCAAGAGGTAGCACACTATTTTATGTTGATCCATTTAAAGATCCTTGACAGCCAGTAAAAAGACACTGGAAGAATACTTGAATGTAGTAATTATTAATAGGTCTATTGATAATATTTTCAATACCAGTTAGGGAGGGAGAGGGGAAGAGGAAGGAAGGAGGAATGAAGGAAGGAAGACAATACTCTGATATCTTACTCTAGAAATAGAGCTGTTTTTGTGTATTTTACTCCATTAATTTTGATATCAATACTGATCATACTGAGGTTTGTGGTCAACTACATGGTTGGCCAAATTTCAATGACGTTTGTTTTTGAGATTCTACTAGGTATTTTCATGTGGCATTTGCCTAATTTTGGACTATATTTAAGATTTGTTCTTACATTTTGGATATTCTGCCTTTGTTCTTCACAAATGCTCAACTGTCTTAGAGGGTTTTCTGATTTTTTTTTTTTTTGGCATGAGGTCACTCAACTAAATTATAGCTAGATAATGACTCTAAAGTTTAGTTCTCCTGGCTTTCCCTGATGACCTACTTATGCCCAGATGTCCTCTTTACAAAGTGTGACTCTTCAAAGTCATTCAAAGATTGCAAACTGCCAGGTTATATTCAATAATCTGGACCTAAATCAATTGGTACATTTTGGAAGAACCTGGTGGGTAGGAGGAGGTAGATGGTGTGGAGTCTTTGTTAGTAAGGAGAGAACATTCTACCTGGGGTACTAAGGTATCCGATTATTCAGTAAGGTAGACCATTAAGTGCTAAATTGTGTGGTGTACACCTTAGTGCTTTAGGAGATCAAAGGTAGTAAGTGAGATGCTGAAGCAGGGATGGGCTCAGTGTTCCCAGAACTATAAGAACCCAGGAAACTTCCACTTGTACTCTATGTGCTTACTATTTTTGTCTGTCCAGAGTCAACCAGTTCTCCAAGGACAGATTTGACATCTGCACACACTGAGATCTGTTTCATTTTAACTTTTATTCTTGCTTCTCTCAAATCTGGCTAAAATACTATTCTTGTCATGTCATTTTCCTGCTTCAGACCCCTCCATGGTTCCCCATTGCTCAGTCTCCCGAAGATTTCATGCCAGACCTTTGCACCCACCCCCATCCCCTGCCACCTTGAGCTTCATTGGACATCTGAACCCCTCTTACTTCTTGCGCCCCAGCTCCAGCCACCTGGAACTGGCACCTGCCATATTGTCTCTTGCCTCTGGCCCCTCACATACAGCTTCAGGTGTTGGTTTAAACATCACATCTACAGGAAGACCAGACTAGGCTCTCCTGTTGTTTCCTCTCACATACCCCTGCAGTGAGCTTTTTTGTTTAATATAGACACTGCTATTTTCAAGTTCAAACTCATGATCTTGGAGACACTTAGATTTTCTCACAAATTAGTTGCACATTTTTAATAGTTTTTTTTTTCTTGGTAATTTTACTTCACAGCAAAGTTGAAGGGAATGTACAGAGATCTCACATATGCTCCTGCCTCTCCCCCTGTTATCAACATCCACCACTATCAACATCCCCTACCAGAGTAGTACATTTTAAACAATTCATGAACCTACATGGACATATCATTGTCACCCAAAGTCCAGAGTTTGCATTAGGATTCATTCATAGTCTATGGTTTAGACAAATATATAATGACATGTATCTACCATTATAGTATCATACAGAGTGGTTCTACTGTTTTTTGGAAAAAAAAATCCTCTATATTCTGTCTATTTCATCCATCACTCCCCCAAGCCCTGGAAACCACTGATCTTTTTACTATCTTCATGGTTTTACCTTTTCCAGAATGTCATATGGTTGGAATTATTACAGTATACAGCCTTTTTAGATTGGCTTCTTTCACTTAGTAAAATGCATTTAACTTTCCTCCGCATCTTTTCATGGCTTGATAGCTATTTGTTTTTAGTGCTGAATAAATATTTCGTTGTCTGGATGTACTCAAGCTTATTTATTCACTCACGTACTGAAGGACATCATGGTTGCTTCCAAATTTGGAAAATCTGTGTGCACATTTATGTGTGGACACATTTTATTTTAATTGCTTAAATATCTGCCATCCTCATGAGACATAAACCCCTTGCAATGAGAAACCATATTTGACTTGATCAGGTATGACCAGCAGAGAGCCTGGCTCCCATTCATTCATTCAAAAATTTATATTAAATACCATGTGCCCTAATGCAACAGAGCAAAACAAACAAAAATTCTGTCCTCACATTCTGCTTGGGGAGATCACCACTAAAATGAGCCAGAACTAAAAAATATAGTATGTATATGTTTATAGTATAGCAATAAATATGTGGGAGAAATATAAAGCAAAGAAGGAGAACAGACAGTGCCTGGTACAAGCTGAACTTTAGACACAGCGGCCCGGGGAGGCCTCATTAAGAGGATGACGTTTGAACAAAGACCTGGAGGAAGTGAGGACAAGTCACACAGATAGCTTGAGAGGAGCCATGAGACTGAAGAAACAGCAAGTGCAAAGTCCCTGCCATGTGCCCTGGCATGTTCAGCAGGTCACTGGGGCTGGAGCATAAAGAGCAAGGAGAGGGGA